AAATCGCTTAAATGCAACGATTAAATAATGACTTATAGCTTTAATATGTAAAAATTCCATTGAAAAGTTAATAAAAATATAAGATCAGGAAAGAAAATTATTTGTAATATTTTTTTTTAAAAAAAAAAAAAAAAAAAAAAAAAAAATGACACCGGAGAATCACTTATCAGGATCTCCAAAATTGGACGGTTTCCGATCATCACAATTACCGGTGGCTTAGGAGTTTGATTAACGTTACATTATTTACCACGTGCATTTTTTTGGATTTTTTCTTTTTTTTTTGGTCATTTCGCTATACAAAATTTAATATATCAAACATGCAAGCTGTCAACAATTCGAATGAATGTATTAATTGGATTGAAGAATCTATCTCAAGAAATAGTATCAAATACTACGAATACAAACATTTTAGCAATTTTCAAGAGATTGGTACAGGCAGCTTTGGAAAAGTTTATCGTGCAAATTGGAAAAGTTCAAATTTACTTCTTGCTTTAAAATCATTTCATAACTTTAGCAATGCCACGGTAAAAAAATTTGTTCATGAGGTAATTACAAAATAAAAGATTGTGTTTCGGTATTTAGTATTTCGTATATCAATCTAAAATTTATTTTTAGCTTGAACTTCAACGGGAAGTTGATTTTCATAGCAATATCATTCGCTTTTTGGGGATTACATCATCAAACCAAGGTATAAATCTTAAATGATGTGGATATGTATTGCCTCTTGCATTTGATTTTTAATTAATTTATAATTAAATAAATTAAATATGCTTTTTAAAAAATATATATATATAGATAATCCAAATGATCAATTGAAAATATATTGGTTAGTAATGGAATATGCTGACGGCGGTGCGCTTAAAAACTATTTGAAGGGTAATTTTAATAAGCTAGGTTGGGGAGATAAATACAACCTGGCATTACAGTTGGCTTGTGCTGTATCATGTTTACATAACGAAGGGATTGTGCATCGCGATTTGGTAATCTTACATAAAATATACTTTCTTCTGAATATTGCTGTGCTGTTTATTAACTAATATTTTTTATACTTATAATAGCATTCCGGCAATGTCCTAATTCATCAGGGTACTGTTAAACTAGCCGACTTTGGATTATCGAAAAGAATTGAAGCAGAAACTAATCAAACAAATACCTTTGGAGTAATTCCTTATGTTGACCCAAAAGTTTTTAATAGACGAAGAAATGACAATACATCACCACAATTTAAACTAAATGAAAAGAGTGACGTTTACAGTGTTGGCGTACTCTTATGGGAATTATCAAGCGGTCATCCTCCTTTTTATGTTAAGGATGAAGAATACGACGTAAGTTTAGCTATCGAAATTTTAGGAGGACTTAGAGAAAAAATCATTCTCGACACACCTGAAGATTATGTTAACATTTACACTGGTAAATATATTATGATTATGAATTAATTTATAATATAAATGATTATTAAATTTTTTATTAATTTCAGGGTGCTGGGATAATGAGCCGGATAATCGTCCATCAATGAATCAAGTAGTTGATAAATTAAATGCAATTGTTAAGATAACAAGCATAACAGAAAATCAAACGAATAATTATGTTTCAAGTCTTCAACAACATCGTTTGAATAATATAGATGCTTCTTCTAGTATAAATAATTCATTTGGAGAATCATCTCAAATTTTTCGATTTGATCAAATAAATGAACAAATGAATAGTTCTTTAAAGAATGTTGATGCTGAATCATTACATAGAAATTTAGATCAAAATTTTAATCAGAATAATTTAGAAGAATCAGAGTCAAATATTGAAGTATCCATTATTTATGATGATACTATTGAAAGTTTAAGAATTACATCATATAATAAGGATTACATATTAAACGCCTTAGGAGGATTGCAAAGATATCGGAAATTAAAAGTACTCGAGTGTCGACATACTTCAATAACTATCCTACCAACATTACCCAACTCCTTAACTGAACTTGATTGCTCTAATACTCCAATAACTATCCTACCAACATTACCCAACTCCTTAACGATACTTGACTGTTCAAATACTTCTATAACTTGTTTACCAACATTACCCAACTCCTTAACGGAACTCAGATGTTATAGCACTAAAATAAATGACTTACCAACATTACCCAAATCCTTAACGATACTCAACTGTTTTAATACTAAAATAAATAGCTTATCAACATTACCCAACTCCTTAAAAGTACTCGATTGCTCTTATACTCCAATATCTATCCTACCAACATTACCCAACTCCTTAACTGTACTTTATTGCTCATATACTACAGTAACTGTCCTACCAACATTACTCAACTCCTTAACTGAGCTTGATTGCTCTAATACTCCAATAACTATCCTGCCAACTTTACCCAACTCCTTAACGGAACTTGATTGCTTTAAAACTCTAATAACTATCCTACCAACCTTACCCAACTCCTTAACGATACTCAACTGTTATGATACTAAAATAAATAGCTTACCAACATTACTCAATTCCTTAACGAAACTTTATTGCCAATTTACTCCAATAACAATCCTACCAACATTACCCGAATCCTTAACGGTACTTATATGTTTTACAACTAAAATAAATAGCTTACCAACATTACCCAACTCCTTAACTATACTTAATTGCTCTAATACTCCAATAACTATCCTACCAACGTTACCCAACTCCTTAACGGAACTCAAATGTGATTATACTAAAATAAATAGATTACCAAATTTACCCGATTCCTTAACGAATATCGAACCTAAATATTTAAAATACTCAACGCCTCGATAACTATCCTGTCAAATCGAATAATCTTTTCTTGTACTGTTGCCTAATTATTTAACCTTTTCATAATCTTCAAGTTTTTTAGAGCAAATAATTCAAAACTTTGCTTTGATAGTTATATTGGATCGATGACAAAATTGTGGTCATTTTGTCTAGTAGCTTATGACATATAAGCTCTTAGAGCTCTTTCTGAATAGATGACCCTAACATTTCTAAAATTTCTTTTTTTGAATATCTTTACTTATTTTTTTTTTTTGAAATATGATATATTATATTTATTATACAATACTTTATATTATGATTTCCAATATCTAGAGTAATATTTAATGTCTTTTCAAATAATAAATTGATGACATTTAAACTTTCTTTCTTTCATATAAAAATTTCTTATTATATTCGTTTCTTCATTTCTCTTAAAAACATATCTAGTCATATTAACTTGATAAGATCTGGTCTAAATCAGATGTTTTAAGCTGAATATTTTACAGGTCTCCCTAAACGCAAAAATTGATTAGACCATTCATTTTATAGGGATTGGACCCACAATTGATTATCCATAAGAAATTATTAATGAAGGATCAAGAATTCTTGTATAAATTATTTATGATAATAATTCTAATAAGGATGGCATACATATTAAACAATTGCAAACGATATCAAAAAGTTAATAACTCTATTGTAATAATACACAAATAACTTTAACAGTTCTCAAATGTTATAACAAGTTATCTAAACTCATTGTTACATTGGGTTTTCTAATATTCATTTCTTAGTATTAAAAATAAATTTTATAAATTTACAAATTCTTTTAAAGACTATTACCGATCGTTTATTCTTTTTTTCATTAAATAACAAATTTTTAATTAAATTTTTTATTTGTTAATAATAGCCGTTGTTAGTTAACCTGGAATTGAACCGAAACCAGATTAACTATATAACTCAGTCCCGTCCTAAGAAAGATTATGCAACAATTTTATTAATATAATTCTTTGTGTAGTTATTTATTACAATCAAGTCCAAGGCTCGTCAACCACAATCAAGTCAGATTTTTGTACAAAATTTATGAATTCCATTTATAAATATAATGAATATAGCGAAAATATTTTAAATTATCTAAAAACTATGATAATAAAACAAATATAAAACGAATACCAATATTTCTATTAATATGATATGATATAAATTATTAAAACGTTATTTTCCGCAATTTTTGCTCCATTCGTAAATTCTAATTTCTTATGACATAAAAGAAATACATTTTGACAATTTCTTTTACAAAGAAAGCTTTCTAATGGTATCAAAGCTTCAGCCACTAAAATAAACTGAAAAAGAAATAAATTTCTTATTATTGTAGTATTATTATTATCATTATTTGTAAGACGCTTTTATAAAAAAAGACAAAACAAAGGAATATAATAAAAATAATAATCTCAGATATCCAAATAAACGCCTTAAAATTTAGTCTCAACGAATCAGACAAGCCAGACTATAGTCGAATATTCATTTCCATCCCTTCCCTTTTGGAGATTGGGACCGGCCCTAAAATTTTTAACCGGTTAATTAATTTGTTAAATTTAACTTAGGCCTGTACTATAAATTTAGTCAGAATTAACAAAATATTTTTGGCAATCATAAAAATCTTAATACTGTATGAAAATTCCGAATTTTAACCGATTAAAGAATTTACTTTAACTGGTCTGGTTACTACCTCTATTCCTTTTTATCATCATGTAAATTTGTTTGATCTCTGTAATCAAAATCAAATTTAAATTCGGATTTATTTCGATCAACGTTTAATTTAAAGGAAGCACAAATTACGTTTAAATTTCTTAGGACCATTTTATCAGTAATTATCGTTTATTTCAAATTCGGTATCGTGTTTAAGCTGAAAAAATAAAATAATTATCTTCTGTAATAAAACAAATGAAAATAAATCAAATATCATGACTTTTCATAAATTAAATCAACATTATTAGCCTGTCAAGCATTTAAAACTACGTTATTAGCACATTCCATAAATTTGAATTGAAAGTGTAAGAGTTACTAAAGGTTTTAACAATTATTTATTAAGAAAACGTAGATAAAATGATATACCTTATATACCGTAACAAAATGACTCAGAATAAAAAGTCTGATATGTCTATGACTCATTTTAAATTAATTTAGTAATACAGATAGATGATCTGAGAACAAAAAATGTTTTTTCGTTTTGCATCATGCACTCTTTGACCAGCAGTAAGTTTCTCATCAAGTGCCACATTAGTAAAAAAATACCTTTCGATATCGTTAGAAATAGTCAGATCCTTATTCGGTTTTAGAGAAAGTTTATGCCGAAACTAGTTCATCTTTGTTCACAAGTGAAGATATGAAAGCGTTGAAAGTGAACTTCAAACCACCTTTAGCTGAAATGATGTTATACCTGATGTTGAAGGTACGTCTGCAATGTGTACTGTGAAAATCTTCTTAATGAACCTAATGCTTACAATTTAATGTTAGTTACCAGCTTTCCGGAAGAATATGAAGAATGTGTTCTCTCCAACATTATCAATCAAACACTTAGATTATCAGATTTCAATCTAGGAAAGCTTAAAGGAATTCTAATCTCGTCTGAACCTTCATTGGTAAGCTGCATATCGTAGAAACTTCACAGGAGGTCGTAGGTGCAAAATAAATAATCCCGCATTGACTCGTTGGTATGCAGATAATACTAAGTAAGTATTAACCAATTCATTTGTCTATTTCCTATGACACACTTTAACGGTTTCCACTTTATTAAAAAGAGCAATGAATACAAAAATCATATACAAAAGCACCTTGTAATTTATTCAAAATAAGATATTGTTGGATTGGCTATAGAAATTGTATTTAGCATGTTTTTAAATGTATGAATATCTCATGTCCTTATTGACGGGATAAACAACTAAAAAAGACATCGAGCCGAATACTGGCTTTGCATAAAGGCAAATTACCGTCAATCTTCTGGCTTATATGTATCTTTTATTTTCTTGACAAATAAAAAATTTCCTAAATTTAGTTTCGAAGAAAAAATATTTAATTGTTTTTTTTTATCTTACCATTTTAGATTAGAAAAATACAAAAGACGTTCAGGATTTTCTATATTTTATTAAAAATAAATTTGCGCTCTTACTTTTCTTTAGATTCCTCTTCAAGTTGGATAATTTCTGCGAGAATAGGGTAATTTTTTTCTAGTTTTGGTTGGTTTTTTTAACTAATAAGTAGGTTTTATTTATTTATTTCCTTCCTTTTTTGCATTATTAAGGTGCTTTTTTCTGATAGTGTTTATATTTTTATTTTAATTTGTTAATTACAGTAACTGTATTTTTTTTTATCTCTTTTAGTCGGTTTTTTAGCGACTCTTTTCAGCATAAAATGCTATTCTTTCGCTCAGGCAAAAATTTATATTTTGAGGGTTAAATGGGATTCCTTGGTTGAATTCGTATGTAAGATTTTTTTTTTTATTAATTTTTCTTGGTCTTCTAAGGTTTTAATTTGGATTACTGTGGGCCGCATCAATTATTTTGACTTGGTTTGTATTTTTTTATTTGTTTGTAATCTATTTTTTTATTAAATTTTTTTTATTTTCGATCCGAACGTTTCAGACTAATATTTTTATTTTCTATTTCATCATTGGCGCAGATGGTTCCTAGTTTATAACTAGGTTGGTTAAGCCTAATAGTTTCTAATTGGTCTTATACGATGATAGAACTTTTAGTTAATTACATTTTATTAATAATTACAATTTATCGTTTAATACTTATGAACGTCGCGTAAAAGAACAATTAATAATATAAAAGATCTCGTTCTTTTTAACTCTAGGTCATTAATTTAAATAAATTTATTTAAACATAGACCCTGATCCTAGGGCTAGACCGTTCCCTATACCAACATTTACATTTTAAATAAGTAGCTTTAAATAAAAATTATTATAAAGTAAATGTTTAAAATTTTTATGAACATGGAAGAAAATGATTTCTTATTTAATTAAACAAACTTATTTTTCGAAAAAATTATATACTTAATCGATCCTAAAACTTATGGGGGGTTAGTTTTAATTTTATAGATTTTAATTTAATCATTGATCATTGTTAAGAATTATAAGTTAATAAATTCAATGGATATTTAAAACCCTGGATAAAAATCATTAAATTTGACGATATATCTCATCTCAATATACTGATAAAGCATTGGTTTAAAGTTTTATACAGTATATATATATTCCTATTCAAAATATTTTCCGCTTTCCGTAGTTAAGGATTGTACTTAGAATGATCGAATTCTTGAAGCATTTCACAAAATATTATTATAAGTATCAGGACAAGAATTAAATCTTAGTGCTAACGTTCGGAAATAATCTAGATCACGTCTTGTCAACATATGATCTAAAGGACAATCAAGCATTATGAACGTGGCTTATATTTTTGATAAGTCATAATGTGAAAGTTTCCTCGCCTTAAATATATAAATAAAATTGATGAAAAGCAATGTATTTTAAGTAGTTATCTCGATCTCGTTCTTTTGCTATCAAACACCCTCGCATATTTATTTCGAATTTTACAAACCGTTCTTTTTAGTGCAGATAAATTTATTTTTTTAAACTCTTTAATTTATACCAACCATTCTATATTCAAAAGCCAAGTTATTAAAATCAAATATAGAATAAAAATGAAATAACTAATCAATGCATTTAATGAGTAATGTATAAATTTCTAATAAAATTAATGATGTTATTCTAAATAAGTCGTGCGGAATCTATATTTAACTTTGAAATTATGCATTTTTAGGATAGGGAGTCATTAATGAAAGCAAAATGAATAAGAATTTATTATCAGCAAAAACAGAATTTGTATTAAATAATTCTTTATCACTAGTAAGGTAGAGAAAAGAATTTAATACAGGATGGACGGGAATAAAATTCCTTAAAAGATGAGAATTGATACTATTAAGTAAGAAGTACCTGTAAAAATGCATAAACATTTTGAATTAAAGTGAATAATAAACTGCGCAAGAATCTACTGTGCCTTTGTCTAATTTTGATAAAATACAATATAATAATGATCAAAGGAAACAGTGTATAAAGTAGCTTTGTTAGCCTTGCAATAATTACCTTTATTTTCTCCCCAAACTAAATATGTTTTATAACAAAAGTTTCTTCAGTATTAATCCTTCCATTTATTATAATCCCTTCGCATTCTGAGCAAATTATGAGTTTATTTAAAATTGTTACCATTTTTTTATGAGAATCGAGAAGTGCTAGCCTCATGACAGAATATTTATTATATATTATCAAAAATCAGTGTTATCTCAACGTCGGCGCTCTACACTTTCGCTTGATCAACATTTTAACTCTACAAATGCAAAGTACTAAATTATAATTAATTAAAACTGCGCAAATTACGAAAAATTACATAAAATTGAATTATAAAATACTAATAAAATCGGGAATTATTAATAAAATAATAAACGGTATTACATACGCGAAATTAAAAAGTTGAGACGGCGAAAACGAAATTATCGCGAAGGTGTAAAAAGGGAAGATTTCAAAGGGAATATATTCAAAGAAATGTATTAAGCTGTTTAAGGATATCCAGCTCGATATATTTAAAAAAAGAATAATTAAGCCAGCCTGGCATCTTTAACATTTTTTTTGTCATACTGGCACCTTGACAACCTGGCATCTTTGACATCCTAGCACCGTGTCATCCTGGCAAATGATCATCAAAAAGACTAACTATAAAGATCAAAAGCGATTTTCATGCGGAATTATGAAGATTTTGGTCGAATTTACATTCAATAGTAACAGTATCATATAAAGGTTTACTGGTTAAACGGGTCCTCAAAAATCCTCGGACATGAGATTTTAGGTACATGTAATTTTATTTATAGGTGGCTTAGTTGATCATAATATAAAATTAATATTAATTTTCTTAATATATGAATTACTTTACTAATCCTAATTCCACGCACGCAACTAATCGCAAATGTTGCGCAGCTGTTGTCCGCGTGGCCTGCGGCTGGCTTTCCTAACAAACCTTTCCTTCCAAACCTAACCCTAACCCTAACCATAATACCACGTCCTAACCTAATGTCACTTCCCAACTCTAATAAGAAAAAGTATTAAATGTTAACTTGATGCAAGCGAAAAAGAAATATCGAAAAAATGAGAAAATAAAAAAAAGGAAGCATTGGAATTATAAATTTGTTCAATAAAAGTATAAGAAAGCGAGAGAACAATGTTAATCAATGTTAAATCAATATAATATACTATTTATACATGTAATAGGCTATTAGTACTACATAATTACGTAATAATTTCGAATTTTAAAAAATATTAAAATTTAAAATTACGTAAAATTTAAAATAACCCCGGTTAATCATAGTATTTCTATATAGTTTAATGTCGTAAAATTTCTAATAATAAACTTTATATGATACCGATACCGTACATAATATTGATTTAATTAGTTGGTGGAGTTCCCCAATGTGACGTTAATCAAATTTCTAATCCACCTTTATATACCAAACATGTTTATGTAACTCATTTTACAGAATGATATTGCGATCATGATTACAATAATACATTTTAAGGTAATAAATAAACCCTTATTTGTTTTTATACTACTGAATGAATAATAAATTTTATATACTTATATTTCTTGCGGTAATTTTGATAGTATTTAGAGGCAATTTTTTTTTTTACCATGATTAATATGATGTGTTGTGTAAATCATCATTCCAAAATAATTTTTTGATTCAGAAAATTTTATCAAAATTATACGAAAATTTTGAATTCCTAAGGCAATCTTAGAATTAATGGTTATATTATAAGTTAGCTAAAGTTTAAATGAGACATGATCATCATAATCTAAGAATTTTCATCTACAACGACTTACTAGTGATTTCGGCGGTTATCCGCCGTTAAAAATTATTTTTAATAATTAATCGTAGTTGATAACTGAAAAGTGCAATTAATGATTAAAAAATATTATTTATTCCTTGAGGAAAAAAGGTGTCATGAAAGTAAATTATACATTTATAAATCCAGATGGAACCTTTGCAAACCCTCAATTGTAAGTTTGCCGAATATATTAGATGTCGAAAGTGTATAAATAATATATTTTTTTTTAATTATGCACTTAAATAAATTTTGTACAAAAATTTTAAGGAATAATTAACCATCAAAATAAGCCGGCAAATTAACCGGATCCAATCACTACGACTTACCATTTACAGAAAGGTAATTAGAATTTTGACCATGTTTATTCGTATGCTGTTTTAGGATATAAATTAAATTGAACATGGTTAATCAAGAAAATTAAAAATAAAGAATGCATTCACAAAATTAATCATTAAAATTTGTCTAAATTAAGGTTGCCGGGCAAAACCCGGAGGTTTCGACAGGCATCGAAATCGAAACCCGTCGAAACGTTTTGCCAAATA